CCTGTCCCCTCCCTGAAACTGCCAAGCATGTGGTTAAAAGCCTTGAAAACGGGAGATTTAGTCAGCACTTTCTGATGAGAAAGCAACTTCTTGCAGGTTAGACTCATTATTAACGCTCATATGTGCACAGCAAAAATAACAAAGAAACTAAGCCTTTAGTAAATAATGCACATTCAGAACAACAAGCTCTCTTCACACGTCATTCACTGCACGTTACAGCAAGCAATGATGTTTCATCACCTGTATACATTATAATATGACCTGCAGGAATGTAAAGAAACTCAAACTGCTGATGGATCATCTTAAATTTCTACACAGCTGAAGGCCAAAAGAACACATGATACTGTTACTGTACACCTCTGTATCAGTAACACTGATCCTCATGGCTATAACAATATTTCTATGGAGACACAAACATGCACATTAAAACAGTGATGCCAGCTCGTCTTACTGAGTCGTTACCACAGAGCTGCATGGCGCTGCTGATGACCATGACAGAGATGAGCTGCCAGCGCACCGAGCGATCAGTAAAAAGTTCCCAGGGTCGGCTGGGCCTCATGCCTTTGGTTTGAACCTGTTCCTGCAGAATCTCATCGAGCTCGCTGTTCTGGACCTCACAGCCGCGCAGCCGCCTCAAAGCTGACCAAAACAAAAATGCAACTTAAATACCCAGAAATGTTTTGTACTGTTATTCTCTGGCTATAACTTATTATTCTGTATGTTTTTATATACTATAAAAAAGGTATAAATTAATGTATGGGCTGACAGCAGTGGTGGAAGAAGTGCTCAGGTAGCATTTTAATGTTGCAGCTGGTGAGGTATGAGGTGGTGTAGTTACCAACCAGAAGTTGGCCCCTAAAAAGGGAACCAAGATAAATATGGGGGTTGTGAGATGGGATTGTGAGATTTTTTGTGAAATATCGGATAATGTGGATCATTATTTAAATGAAATGAAAATTGTACTTGAGTTACTTTCCAACACTGGTTGACATGTTTCAGTACCCACCGTTAATACAAGCCTCCTTGTCCCCCCTGTCGATGAGCAGGTATCGGGGGCTCTCTGGGAACCACGGCAGGGTGAGGAGCTGAATGAAGCCAGGAATGGCATTACTGGCAAGAAGATACTGCCAACATGGCTCACTGCCCAAAATCTCTCTATAAATAAATTATCCAGAGCGTTACTGTGGATATCTTTGAAATCTATAGCACACAGATGTTGTTGTTTTTTTCAGTAAAAGATTGGCCTGTTTTGACAAATATTGTGTCCATACCTGAGTCCAACCACCTGTCCTAACACAACACCAAATGCTGTGAAAACAGCTGATGACAAGGAGATAGCCCCCCTTAAGTGCTTTGGTGCACTTTCTCCAAAATACATAGGTTGCACATTCATGCTGATCCCTGTAAAAGACACAGTGAAGTTTCTGATGATTTATTTTTTCTAACCGTTTTTTTTTTAACCCACAGCATTATTATCGCAGAATACTTCAGTTCTCATTTCAGTCTGCTACATGCATTACAAATATACTGTCCAGTAAGTCAGAGGAAAATCTGACAGTATTGAAGGCAAACATAAATATTTACTAACACAAATACATACCTGCGTTTATTCCAACCAGAACACGTGAAATAATTATCATCTCAAAAGACTTGGCAGCTCTGCTCGTCACAGCTAAGAGTGCACCAGTCATGAGGAAAATGTTGTTCAACAGCAGGCATTTCTTCCTTGGGAGGGGAAACAAGGACACAGTTAATAGATTGCTTACAACTGTTGTGGTTTTGGGGTTTACCTCTGAAGACGTAACCGGGTGACAGGTATTTTCCCCACAGTACTGACAACTGCTGTTGTTAAACCCCTAATAAAGAAAAACAACCTTGACCTGTTCATACTGACCAACCTCAAATATGTTCTGGCTTTCACCCTCATCATCACTGAAACATCGATAGTCAAAGTTGTAAATGATTTGTAATCTTTATATTAGTACTCATAGACCTAAAGGGGTATTATGTGATTTTTTTAATCAAATGAATCACTTTTTTACTGGCTATTACTGAACAAGTTGTAACCTCACATAAAAATTAACCACATGCTTTCTTTCACGGTCGCTTGGAACAACCACTATGCTGCTTCCTATCTGAAGATATCCGGTTGGCTTTTCCCCGAAATTCATTGGTTAACCCGGCTGTGACGTTCATGCACGCTCCCGTACCTCTTGCCTACTGATTCTGAACTGTACAACACCGCAAGTAACGAAATAGAGTCCCTTAACACCAAAAAGTTTTCAGCATTTTGTGTAACGCTGTCTCTGGTGTGTCGGCCTCTGTTTTGGCTCACTCATAAGTTTGAGCATGTGCACGAGCGCACGCTTGGGAAGGTAGTGTTGCAATCTGAAACCTCACTGCTAGAGGCCACTAAAAACTACAGCTAACTAACCCATTTTAACACTATTGACCATGACATCATCATCAACAGATTACAGAATTGTGTTGGCCTCTCAGACTCGGTCCTGAATGGGTTTAGGATTTATTTATCTGAATGTGATTAAATGAGAATATCCTTGTGGGTTTCATCAAGGTTCCATTCTGGGCCCGGTACTGTTCAGTCTGTATATGTTACCGCTGGGATACATAATCAGGGAGCATGGGATTGATTTCCATATCTATGCTGATGACATGCAACTATATTTTTCATTATCACCTAATGACACCAGTCCTACTGATAAGTTGCTGTTAGCTGTGTTCCTACAGCTGAACAAAGATAAGGGGATTTAATTATAGGAACTAAGGACAGAAGAAAGCTACTGTACTCAAACCTTTAATCCTTGACACAAAATAAAAAGCCCCTAGTAAAAAATCTTGGTCCAAACCAGGATCACATATCAGTTATGTCACAAAAATGCCTTTTACCACCTCAGACATATAGCTAAAGTACAGCCATCCTTCACTTAAACAGACAATGAGAAACTTATCTATGCTTTTAATACCAACTTGACTATTGCAACACACTCTTCTCTGGTCTACCCCAGAAGTACATAATAAGCTACAAACCATTCAGAATGCTGCAGCACAGGTATTGACCAAGACCAGACGAAGAGCACACATCTCACCCGTTCTTAAGTCCCTTCATTGGATAGATTTAAGATACTTTTATTTGTATTCAAATCACTAAACGGAATAGCACCTCAATATCTATCAGACTTGCTTTTATCATATGTTCCCAATAGACCTGTCAGATCCTCTGGCACTGGCCTTGTAGTAACCTAAATGGCAAGGACAACTAAATACAGAGAGGCAGCTTTTAGTGTATATGGTCCACATCTGTGGAACAACCTCCCAGATCAAAATACTGTCAAACTTTAACAGTATTTTAAAATAAATCTTAAGACCCATTATTTTAGTTCAGCATTTTCCTAATGTTTTTGTTTTGCTTGTATTGATCTTAATATTACTCTCATTTCGCTTTTGTGAGTCTTATTATGTGTCTTATTATTATTTACATTATTATTTTTATTTATCTTTTTACTTTTCTCCATATAGCAGCACTGTTGCACCTCTTCCTTTATTACCATGAACACGGACACTGAATGTGTTTAATCTGCAACCGAATATAGTCCCCAATAAACTGTTTGAGTAACGTTTACTAAAAACTGCAGTGCCAACCAGTTTTAGGAAATTATTTAGCACTATCAAAATTGATATGTTGTTTTTGTGACCCGTTTTTTAAAAAGTGTACATTTTCAGTAAGAATGAATTGGTTTCGGGCTGAGTGCAGCAGAAAGAGTAAGGAAGTCGGAAAGTATTGTAGTATATAGTTGGTTTTGGTCTTTTTGCGGGATTTGTTCACAATAAAATAAAAACACAGCCTAATAACTTAAAGGCAGTTACAGTAATATCTACAGTATGCAAACATGGCCGATGCTTATTTGTTTCTCAGAAGATCAAAACTCAATCTGTTTTTGTTTTTGTAATTTGCAGGGTCATATGCATATACACGTGAAAGGAACGTAAATGAACAGTCTCTTTATTTATTCATATGCATGCACGTCAACAGGTTGATCATTCACTTTCTGCACACTGCAATGAATATCTCAGTCTGTAATCTTCTGTACTCATACAGTTACACAATTACATACAGTAGCATGATCTTATAAAGCTATTACCTCCCAAAGCGTATGGTCATGGGTCCTGCGATAATTGCCCCTGCAAAGCCCCCCAATGAGAAGATGGAGACAATCATTGTCCAGACCAGAGTCACCTGGTAGTCCTCCAACTGAATGTCCCAGCGCTCCAGGAACGTCTCATTGACAAAGGTTTGGATAAACTGCAAGAGAAGACATACATGTAAACAGAGCATAGGTGTCTGTCTGTTTATATTTTTGTGGCGATGCACACTGTGATTTCTGCCTTTGACTCCAGACCTCACAGGGTAAATTTACAGCATCACAACAAAGATCTAAGCATAAAATATTTGTATCTACTAGCAAGTTGCAGAATTGTTTGCTGTTGGAAGTTTCTGCTTTTGATTTCTCTGTGCAGCTGCTCGGCTTAACAAAATACTGAGGAAAGATCCTGTGTCCAGAATTAGTTTCTTAAGCACAATAAAACTGGATGTGTAACAATGAGAATGACTAATCACACACAAGTAGCCTAATTCTTGAATGTGCCAATTTACACTGTGACCCAAATGTGAATAACAGTGATTCTGGTCTACAAACAGATATACACAAAATACACTTACAGATTTATTATCAGTATTAATGTACCACAATGTTAATGGCATACCTTCTCACTGGTAGACATAACTTTTTGGAACAATTACCACATAAGTAAATAACCTATACATAGTCTATGAATAATCAACACCTAGGAACACTGGGACATCCGCTGCGACTGCATGATCACACACACACGCACACACACACACACACACACACAATTTGGAAATTAGAATGAAAACTTACAGCTGTGGGAGAATTCATTATAGCCAGGTTGTAGCCATATTGAAGAGTACCTCCAATGGCTGCAGAAGCAACCATGAGCACCAATGTCAGAGAACTGCTCTGTTAACACAAACAGATAGATACTTTTCATTAGATTATACTTATCTTACCAACTCATTTGCTAAAATCACAGCATCACCTGTAAATGATCGACTTGTTTCTTCACTGACTGTAAATCTCTAAGCTATTTAAAACAACTGCAGCCATGCACCTGGAGAGACAGTATCAGAATTACACCTGCAAAGATTGATATTTCTTCTCAAAGTTTAGTCTGCAGATTCTGTCATTGGTTCCACTTTCTTAGTAGGTTCATAGTTGTTTTGTTGTTAAATTGTTAAAAACCAAAATATCTTCAAATAGCACCGAACTTCATAGCAACTATACACAGCCACCAAGAAATTCAGCTACAAATCAAACAAGGGAATTAAACTCAAAGTTAATCTATGATTTACCTTCTGTGCACCAGCATGCGACATTGTTACTCGAAGGTGGCAGTAAAAAGTGACTTGAGTCCAACAGCGAGTCACACAGGTCAGCCCACCTCTCACATAGCGGTCCTCTACAAGGCATGCTCGTGCACGCGCCTACACCACGCGCGTGACAGCGTTAAGCTGTTTTATGATTGGATGCAGTTTTGCAATCAACCGAGAGAGACAGAGACTGAGCTGATATCTTACCAGGACTCTTCAAATGCAACACCAATGATTTACTCACGTAGAGATTTGTTGTGCGTAACAGTGTGGAGGTAAGGATTAACTTCACATAGCTACTGTCTCGGTGAGTAATTAAGAACAACAACGCGTGCGCAGTAAGGGTCTGGGGTTAGTAAAGTTTTAGATCAACCACGAAGAAGTTACGTTCAGGTACAAGGTGGTGGATGCGGACACGTGGATTGTAAACTGTAGCCTACTTCTATTATAATGTCCTATTATTTTGTATTTGTTGATATGTTATATTTTCTAATATAATCTATATTTAATAATCAGAATCAGAATCAGAAGGAGCTTTATTGCCAAGTAGTGTTTTACACATACGAGGAATTTGCTGTGGTGATAAGGTGCTACACGTAGACAAACATACAGTCAACATAAATAAATAAATGTGGAAATATATAAATATGGAATTGAAGAACAACATTGCAGATATACATGTGCATTATTCTGGGTTTGTGCCGTGCAGAAGTAACGCAAGGAAGAGAATATTGTGTACCTATAAATATATAAACTGACAACATAAAAATATACAACAACAAAGATCAACAATCAACAACAAATATGTGCGACGTGCCAGGTCTTAGCACGACACGAGATGAAACGGTATTTACATGTGCAGAGACATTTGTATCGTTTGCAAGGGTGGAGTGTCAGTGGGGGACCCGGGCCTTGTTAATGAGGAAAACTGAGAAACTGTTTTTGTGGCGAGAGGTTTTGGTGCTGATGGACCGTAGGCTCCTGCCAGAGGGGAGAGTCTGAAACAGTTTGTGTCCGGGGTGGGAGGAGTCAGCTGCAGTCTTCCTGCTTCCTGCCTTCTTGGTGAGGGAGGTGATGTTCAGCTCCCACTTGGGGTCCTGGGAGATGATGGTGCCCAGGAAGCGGAAGGAGTCCACAGTGATGACTGAGGAGTCACACAGGATGATGGGGGAGGGTGGGGCTGTGCTCTTTCTGAAGTCCACGACCATCTCCACTGTCTTCTGAGTGTTGAGCTCCAGACTGTTCTTTCTGCACCAGGTCACCAGATGGTCGATCTCCCACCTGTAGGCGGACTCGTCCCCACCTGAGATCAGCCCAATGAGGGTGGTGTTGTCCGCAAACTTCAGGAGCTTGACAGACTGGTGACTGGAGGTGCAGCTGTTGGTGTACAGGGAGAAGAGAAGGGGGGAAAGAACGCAGCCTTGAGGGGAACTGGTGCTGATGGTCCTGGAATCAGAGACATGTTTTCCCAGCTTCACGTGCTGCTTCCTGTCCGTCAGGATGTCTGTGATCCACCTGCAGGTGGAGTCAGGCGCGCTCAGCTGGGAGAGCTTGTCCTGCAGCAGGGCCGGGATGATGGTGTTAAAAGCAGAGCTGAAATCCACAAACAGGATCCTGGCGTAGGTTCCTGGGGAGTCCAGGTGCTGGAGGATGTAGTGAAGGGCCATGTTTACTGCATCATCTACAGACCTGTTGGCTCTGTAGGCGAACTGCAGGTGGTCCAGGAGTGGGTCTGTGATGGATTTTAGGTGGGACAACACAAGGCATTCAAAGGACTTCATAACCACAGAGGTCAGGGCGACGGGTCTGAAGTCGTTTAGTCCAGTGGTCCTTGGTTGCTTGGGGACAGGGATGATGGTGGAGGCTTTGAAGCAGGCTGGCACATGGCATGTTCCAGTGAGGTGTTAAAAATGTCTGTGAACACTGGAGACAGCTGATCAGCACAGTGCTTCAGAGTGGATGGGGAGACAGATTCCGGCCCAGCTGCTTTGCCGGGTTTCTGCCTCCTGAAAAGACCGTTGACTTCCCTCTCTGTGATTGAGAGAAGAGGGGAGGGGGTGGAGCTGGCCAGCTCTGAGGAGGGAGGGGAAGATGTGGTGGACTGAGGCTGAAGCTGAGCGGAGGAGTCACGGGGGATGGTGTCCGATTGACTCTCCGATTGAGTAGAACTGGTTCAGCTCATTTGCCAGACGAGAATCGTTAATGGAGTGGGGGATTTTGGGTTTATAGTTTGTGATCTGTCTGAACCTCCTCCATACAGAAGTGGCGTCGTTTGCAGAGAACTGGTTCTTTAGTCTCTCTGCGTACAGTCGTTTAGCTTCTCGCACCTCCTTGTTAAACCTTGTAGTGAACCAACAGTATGGATTTGTGCGTTTCATATTAAATAATTTGGAGACTCAATTCCTCTTTTCTCTCCCAGAAAGAAGGAGGAGGGGGGTTTGATTACCAACCCTCTAAAGACAGCCGAAGCGACCCCCAAAGGAAGGGGGATTGAAAGGTCGCTTTCCCTAAGTGGTATTCCTTGGCAGTTGATCGTAAAACTGGCCACCTTTGGCAACAGCCGAGATAAGCCTCTTGGTGCCTGAATTGTTAAAATGACAAAGAAACTAACCAGAGATTACAAACAGCCTATCGAAACTCTCCTTAAGAGGGGGCAGGAAACCCTAAACCGCCCCACCCCATCCTATACTCTATTAATTGCCAGCTTGAATTTAAGGTTAAGTAACTGAATTTCCCAGCTCCTGAGAAGATTGTTTTAGGATTAATCAGAGTTATCCTCATGTAACCTGAGCTTCCCCAAGTGGACGAAATAAGTATTACATGCCATCGGCTGAAATGCCGTTTAATGTATAAATGTCACTCGGTATTTATCATGTCCAATAATCTGATGCCATTCATGTGTCTTGCTTATATTCTCTAAGAACGTGTAACAGCCAATATATCCATGAAAGCAAGTTAAGTTCCTCTCCTCTGATATCATTCTGAAATGCTAACCTTTTAAGGTCTAATTACTGACAATTGTTTTCCTGTTACCAAATGCTTAAACTTAGAACGGTACAACCGTTTAACAATTGAGGTTTGATTGTGGGAAGATATTTGATTATAATACGCGCAAATAGATTTTCTTTTGTTTTTTTTTTAGACATATTAAAAGTTTAGAAAGACAGTCCCTCGGGAAACTGGAAACGGCCCTCTGGGAAACCACGCCCCAACCAACAAAAGCGCAACACACAACGTCGCTCTCTTCTCTTGCTCCTTGTCCTCTGCTTGTTCCTGACTCTTCAACGGCGCTTCGGCATGCGCCCGGCGTGCCCCTCTCCCGGCAACGCCCTAAGAGTTCGGCCCGGCGCAGCGAACGGCATTTATTCGCTTCAAGCTACCCATGCGAAGTGCTGCGACATCAGCTTTTCCTCATTTAACAGCAACTTTACTTGCGTTTTATTTTCTTTGGTTTTGTTTTGTTAAAAGTTATCAGTCCGTTAAGTTACACTAGTTTAATTCAAGGACGACCAAGTTCTTTTTAAGCTTTATTCGTCGAGCTAACTTCACCGAGGACAGACCCAGCTACGTGGTCTTGGCAGCGGCAACAAAGGACACCTGAAGAACAGCCGAATTGCCAGACGGAGGACGGCCAACCCTTGAGGGTTTTTCTTCATTCCAGACATGGAGAACCCCGGAGAATTCCCTAGCCAAAAGCCAGGAATCGGGCAGCTAGCATGGGACCCGTGCAACAGGCCAAGGCAGGCCGCCGACCTACCGTAAGGCAAAACAAGGCATTCTGTGGCCAGTGATGTCCAATAGTTGTTAATCCATGATATTAAGTCCTTAAACCCCTAGACAAATTTAACCGAGTTATCATCTAATTGCATTCATTAGCTGCCGTATGAGTCAAATTCTCCCACAATAGATCTCCCTTCTCATTGTTTAGCCATTGTTTATTTCTCTGATGTATTTAACCGCATTTTTATATCACCTTAGTTAGCTAATAAATTCACTGTAATCAAGGAATTGTGTGTGTTGCCTATTTCTAAGTCCCTGCCAAGAGAATTTACCCTTCAGATGAGACTGACTGATTGATTTAAGATAATTGAGCGATTATTAGCTAATTGATCACTAGTGAATAATTGTATAATTATTAAAATGCTACCCAGAGGTCCAGAGACTTTGGGTTAATAACAACTCCGGTGGTGCCCCGAAACAAGATATTTATGGATTAATATTTTCTGAATATTAAAATTCATAATTGGGTATTCTCATAAATTTATTAAAAATATTACATAGCTTTAGACCTGCTACAACCTGTACTTTAACGCCCTGCACCCGGCCCTGTCACCACTCTAAATGCCTCCTCCTTGTCCTTAGCTAATTGTTTATGTCCAGCAGATGCAGGTGGTTTGAAATGTCAGCATCAGAAACGGAAAAGCTACTGTACTTCCTTTCCAATTATGGCCTCATTGTGTGACAAAACAAGTCACTAAACAAAATTTGCTGTAATAAGAGGGTAGTTTAATAGGAAAATTATGTATCATCAACATCCATTTTTTTTAAAAGGAGGCTATCTCATCATTAAGGGTTTCGATCAGCAATTGTAGTTGTACTTGGAACTTAACATGTTGGAACAATTAGGATGATTTACCTCTTTTATTAAGAGCAAGTGTAGAAGAAACACACAGCGCAGTCACTTTGGGAACAATTTGTATGTGTCTGAAGCATTTCGATGCTGCGCTTTCCTGGAAAGTCTGGCAGCTTTCACACTGAACCTGATAAAAGTTATAATAGCACTGTTGACAAAAGGTCAGAGGATCAACAAAAACATGAGGAATCATCCTTTGGAGCTGAATATTCACACCAAATTTCATGGGAATCTGGCCATTACTCATCAGTAATATCTTGCTCTGGACCAAACGGTTGGACAGATGAATGAACAGATGGACCAGCAAAGCTATTCTTAGAGTACTCTAAAGGGGAAAAATGAATTATATAAAACTTTTTATTAATTTTAAATCCCAGTGATAAAGAAAAACATCTAAACCAGTTAACGTTTTCCAGGACAATAAATCAAGTAAATTTTATTTGTAGGGGAGAGCGGGGTGAGTTGGGCCAATATTTACTTCATCTTTAGAGTGAGGACATGATAGTGATGTGATGATTGATGATTGATGTAATATCTACAACTAAAATATTTATAAATGTATTTTAGGATGTGGCCATCCCTAATTACTTTGGATCTAAAATTAACAGTTTTCTACCTTTCACAACATTTCATTGCATTTAATGTATCGCTTAAAGTCATCCTGTTGATTTTCATGTCCCTTGCCACCTGACATATGGACTTCCCATTCTGTACCGCTTCCACTTATCTATCCAAATCCACTAGAGGAGTGGAAGCCCTGTCTGTCTTC